CCCAAAAGCACCCCAAAAACTCACATAAAACCCACAAAAGGTATATACCCTGATAGCCCTGATCTGGGTGAGCAACATATCCAAAAATCACCCAGATCGGTTCAGGGGTTCAGGATTTTCATGAAAGTCTTCCTTTTGACCGACCGCACACGAGCATCCTGGCCAAAATAGTTCCGTAGATTCAGGTTGTGCGGTCAATCTCTTTCGGGAGCTTCAAATACAACAAAATACCAAAAGTAGCAGTTTGTGGGAAAACTAGTCACTTTCTTCTGATGAATAGGAACGAACATATGTGAATGTGGAAGTCTCAGCGGTGTTCAGGCCGTTTAGTGTCTGATAATAGTTCCATACACTCGACGACCATACACCACTGAAGGGTTCGCCAAAACATGATGACTGCCGCCTCGTGTTCGTTCATAAGAATGGCGGCCACCCAGACGACCACTTAGAATGTTTACGTATTTATGGTTAGACCAGGTGTTAGTGAGGTTAAGTGGGTCAACTAGCGGCACACAACTTTTCTGGGTGATCCATGTGTTCGGTACTTTGTTCGGTATATGAACCAGATAGGGAAATCTGTTTGGTTAGATTCATATACCGATCTAGTCAAGCAAAATTATCTGGTATGAGCACCATTAGTGGCAGGGTGCCCTATACCATATATAATTATACTGATATTGTAAGTACATAATATAGGCAATACTGTGGAGGTTCACAAAGATTTATTTTAGAGTTTTGACATTATGAGCCAGACGGAATAAACAAACAAAAGTAAGACAAAACTAAGAGCTTTCTCTCATTTAGTACATGTCAATCAAATGGTATATTGAAAGTAGCTATTATTAAAAGCTCACTCAATGGACCCATTCACTACATTTGTACTTTGGCCATATATTGAATTAAGGCAGTGTTTTCCTCCTACCCCTTTCTAAAACAGTGGGTTTTTTAACAAATGGGTCTAGTGATTTCTCCCATCCCTGCCCACTGAAAAATATGTTTCTACATTAGATTGAAGTCTGTGTAAGTGGGCTTTTATCTGTGCATGTGTGCCTAATAGAATAGCAACTATCCTGAGACACTATTAGTATCTGATATGAACTGATGATCATCATTTGGCATACTGGTAAACTGAACAAACTCTGGTACCACATAGAAATATGCCCTTTCATTTGAAACAGTTGTTGCACAAATTGCCTTGTTATGCATTTTGAATGTAAGAGTGTCTGTGAGTGTTTGCCTGATGTTTAATTTGACTCTACATATAGAATAATAAAATCATTTTCTACATTTTGGTAAATTATTTGCTACTGTTCTGCTGTGGCAGGTTATAAATAACACACACATTTACTTCAACAAATCTATTGGGGTTTACATAGAGCTCCTATCAGGTTTGATTTTGCAAAGATAAAATTCTACCTCTTTGAATCTAGTTAGAATCCACAGCTTGTATCACGTTATTCAATTTCTATCTATATGATGCACCATATATGTTTGCAGTTGATTGAATAAAATGCATATAGAGCCCTGTATGGTACTGATATTCCTACCTGGGAAGATATTTAGTTATTCTTAAATAAAAAATGCTATATATCAGATATCACTGATTTTAATCATGAGTGATCCTTTATCTTTTTACAGTATATTCTATATAATAACAGGGGATAACAAAATGTGGGAAGAATATTAAAATACACCATGGAGAAATATCGCAGAAAGAGATTGTCACACTAAAAAATTTAACAGTTGGAAATTATATTGAAGTTTTATCACTAACACACAGAAATGAAAAGAACATCTGGAAAATAAATGGATAAAATATTTTTTGGTCTGGTCTTACAATGTTATCTCAACAAAATTTATGACACAATAATTCTTAACTATAAGCTGCATGTTTAATTTGTTTTTATCTGTTGCAATTACTGTTGAATGGTTTGACCATAGAAATTTATTTTTTTCTAAAGTTATGTACCATTTCCAACTTTTACCTTTAAAGTGATTCAGTCATGACAGATATAGGTTTGCAGTTTTCTAACCATCTGACTAGGCTTATGTTAGGAAATTCAGCAAGTGAACCATGTTTTCAGTGGGTGTTACACTTCCTGAAAGTCACAGCTAACCTGCAAACTTGCTTCCCATAACAGGTTAGAACTCTGCATCACTGTATGTTATCTTTGGTAAATAAAATGTATCTGTTCTCTATCTCTGTATTCAGATGACCTGTTCAAAAATGTTGTAATAAGTCATTTTGGCTGTTTCTTTCCTTTTCTGTGTTGCTTTCACACAGAGCATGCCCCTCCCCCCTACTTCCATTTGCAGGTTTTGCTTTCCCTTCTGCAACATTTATGTGGGAGAGATGACCAGAGGAGGATTACCATGATAACAGATATGCAGAACTCAGTTATCTTATCTTTGTGCTGATCGGCACAGATTCGGCACATACTGAACTGACTGAGAGTAGGAGGAAAAGGCTGTTTTCAAACCTCTGATTTTAGAGAAATCTAGACATTTGCTAACAATTCTGCAAACATATTGGAAACATAAAATGTGATTACATATTATTTAAGATTAAGTTGTATTTGTCATGACAGGTACTCGTTAAAGTTTCCTTGAAATATATTTATTTTGTAATTGATCTTAAGACTTGGTCATCTCTTCTAAATCTTTTATTGCATGCGTAGTTTTTGTGTTTGTTTGTTTTTCCGTTTAGTACGCTTGTCCCTTTCAATTTCAGGTATGGAATTAATGGAATAGCTATACCTCTGTCTTGGATCTTATTCATTTTCTTTTCATATAAGCTCTTTGTGATTTTCATTTTGAATAGGGGAAGATAATTTTATAAGTTGATATAGGTTTATGCCAATTGTTGATATTTTGTTTTTTTCTTGCTATCTTTGCCACTAATCTGCTCTGCTACTTGCCCCGTGCCATAGTGTTGCTAGTAAAATAGAAGTCTGATGGAATACAGCCAAAGTTATTAAAAGAGCTTAGTGGTGTACTAGCAAAACCATTAACAGATTTATTTAACCAATCATCGTTAACAGGAGTAGCCCCAGAAAATTGGAAATTAGTGGATGTTGTGTCCATTCACAAGAGGGGTAATAGGGAGAAGTCAATCAACTATTGGCCAGTAGGTCTTACTTCAGTAGTGGGAAAGTAATGGAAACCATGTTAAAGGGAAGGATTGTTAAACATCTAAAATCACATGGATTTAAAGATCAGAGACAACATGGGTTTACTTCAGGGAGATCATACCAAACTAATCTTTTTTTTTTTGATAGGGAACTAAAGTAATAGATCAGGGTGGTGCACATGGGCGTCCGCAGGAATTTTTCCAGGGGGGGGCATAATTGTAATGACATCCATGCTTGGTACCTTTTTGACAGTGTCATTAAAGGGAAGGGGCATAGCCATTATCACATAAAGTCAGGGTGAATAGCGTTTTCACAACTATGGTGTCAGGAATAAATGTTTGTATTCCTGGCACTATAGTCTTCCTTTAAGCAAATTAAAGGACCATTCTGGTCACCATAACAACTTCACCTAAATGAAAATGCTATGATGCCAGGAAGCCCCTGGGTGCTCGCTTTCCTTTAAGGGGTTAAATCACTCTCAAATGGTTTAACCCCAAAGGCTTCCTCCAGCTCCAGGTCGCTCAGTGGTATTTGGCTTCTGAAACAGAGTGTCAGGAAGTGCAGATTGACGTCAGGCATGGGTGCCGCTGATTGGCTAGAGTGGACAGTTGACGCTCTAAGCCAATCGCTAGTTCCTGGTTCATAAAATATTTTAACTTTTTTATGAATGGGGAGCTACTGATTGGCTTAGAGTGCCAGCTGACCACTCTAGCCAATCAGCAACACCCCTACCCAATGGCACTCTGTGCTTCCTGACACTCAGTAAATAAAAGTGAACACATTAATACTGATATTTTTTTACCTTTTGGAGATGAGAAGATCCAGCGTTTCCCTGCCTGGCCCAGGTACCAAAGCCTTATGATGTGGTGTCCAGAATAAAGTGGAGGGTTCACTTCATTTGTCCTTCCTGCTCCAATCTCCTTTTCCTCTCCTTCATTTGACAGTCTTTTTTTATCTTCTGACACTGTTTTCTATCCTTGGCCCCTTCTGCTCTTTTACCTTTCTGCTACTTTCTGCTTATTTTGCGCCCTTCTGCTTCTTTCTCATTCTGATCCCTTTCTGCTCCTTGCAGACCCTTTCTGCTCCCTTTTCTACTTTATCTTTGTGCTCCTTGCTGTCCCTTTGTGCTCCTTCTCCTACTTTACCTTTGTGCTCCTTCTGATTCTTTCTGCTCCTTTACCTTTGTGCTCCTTCCTGCTCCTTGCAGGCCCTTCCTGCTCCTTGCAGGCCCTTCCTGCTCTTTGCAGGCCCATCCTGCTCTTTGCAGGCCCTTCCTGCTCATTATCCTATTTTACCTTTGTGCTCCTTCTGCCCCTTCCAGCTCATTTCTGACCCTTTCTGCTCCTTCTACTTTACCTTTGTGCTGCTTTACCTTCCAGCTCCTTGCTGACCCTTTCTGTTCATTTCTGTTCCTTTCTGCTCCTTCTCCTACTTTACCTTTTGTGCTCCTTGCTGTCCCTTCCAGCTCCTTGCTGCCCCTTTCTGCTCCTTGATGTCCCTTCCTGCTCATTTCTGTTCCTTCTCCTTTTCTTACTTTACCTTCCTGCTCCTTGCTGACTCTTCATGTAGGCTGTCTCCCCCATCCCTTACTTCCATAGGCGTGCGCACAGGGTGTGTCGGGTGTGCATGGGCACACCCTAATCCCCGCGGCACGCCAATGGATTGAGACCGGCAGGGGAGATCTCTGGGTCTCCCCGGTCGGCTCATGCAGAGCCGACGCTATTCGAGCAGCGGCTCCGGTCTAAGCCTCCATGGGCCGGTGGGGAGATCAAATTTCTACCTCACCGGTCCACAGCAGCATGGAGGGAGGCAGCAGAGAACCCGGGCTAGAGTTCACTCTCCACTGAACCACCAGGGAAGGCAGCAGGACTGGGATATTAACTAATCTGCCCCCACCTCCACCCAAACATACAGCACACACAGCCCATAAGCAGCACCCACACACATACATCACCCTCGCTCACACAGCACCCACACACACCCAGCACACTAACAGCATCCTCACAAACACACAAAACCCACACACAAACAGCACCCTCACACACAAACAGCACCCTGACAAACACACAACACACTAACAGGACCCGAACAAACACGCACACACAAACACACACAGCACACTACCAGTTCCCACACAAACAGCACCCTCACACACAGCACACTAACAGCACTCTCACAAACACACACAAAAACACCCTCACCCACATAGCACACTACCAGTGTATATATATATATATATATATGTATATATATATATATATACACATACATATACATATACACATGGTGTGTGTTTGTGCTTTAGGGTGCACACCCTAATGTAATAGGCTGCTCCCCCCCCCGGCTCACTCCCCTAATCTACAGGCTGCTGCCCCCCCCCAAATCTATAGGCTGCTGCCCCCCATAATCTATAGGCTGCTGCCCCCCCTAATCTATAGGCTGCTGCCCCCCTAATCTATAGGCTATCTCAAACCCCCCACCCCATCCCACACTTACCTGATCTGTAGGCTGTCTCTGGCTGCATGTGTTGCTCCCCTGCGGTTTCAATCAGCAGAGAGAAGCAGGGATAAGATGCAGCTTCCTATCCCTGTCTCTCTCCATACACAGCGCCACCTACTGGCCGGCGCCGGTATTGCAGTTCATTTTCAATCACACGAAAAATAGCAGAACAAGCTGAAAAATCCAGGGGGGGAAAGTGCCCCCTCTTGCCCCCCCCTGCGGACGCCCATGGTGGTGCAGTAGACATTGCTTACCTAGATTTCAGTAAGGCTTTTAGCACTGTTTCACATAGAAGGCTAATCAATAAACTGCAATCTTTAAGTTTGGATTCCAATATTGTTGAATGGGTAAGGCAGTGGCTGAGTGACAGGCAACAGAGGGTTGTAGTTAATGGAGTATATTCGAAGCATGGTACTTAGACCCAATCTCTTTAATATTTTTATTAGTGATATTGCAGAAGGTTTTGATGGTAAGGTATGTCTTTTTGCTGATGATACTAAGATATGTAACAGGGTTGTTGTTCCAGGAGGGATAAGCCAAATGGCAAATGATTTAAGTAAAGTAGAAAAATGGTCAGAGTTTTGGCAACTGACATTTAATGTGGATAAGGGCAAGATAATGCATCTTGGATTTAAAAATCCAAGGGCAGAGTAACCTCAACATCTGAGGAAAGGGATTTAGGGGTAATTATTTCTGATGACTTAAAGGTAGGCAGACAATGTAATAGAGCGGCAGGAAATGCTAGCAGAATGCTTGGTTGTATAGGGAGAGGTAGGCTCATGCCATTGTACAGAACACTCGTGGGACCTCACTTGGAGTATTGTACACAGTACTGGAGACCGTATCTCCAGAAGGATATTGATACTTTAGAGAGAGTTCAGAGAAGGGCTACTAAACTGGTTCATGGATTGCAGGATAAAACCTACAAGGAAAGGTTAAAGGAACTTAACATGTATAGCTTGGAGGAAAGACGAGACAGGGAGGATATGATAGAAACATTTAAATACATTAAGGGAATCAACACAGTAAAGGAGGAGACTATTTAAAAGAAGCAAAACTACAACAACAAGATGACATAGTCTTAAATTAGAAGGGCAAAGGAATAATATCAGGAAGTATTACTTTACTGAGAGAGTAGTGGATGCATGGAATAGCCTTCCAGCTGAAGTGGTAGAGGTTAACACAGTGAGAGAGTTTAAGCATGTGTGGGATAGACATAATGCTATCCTAACTATAAGATAAGGCCAGGGACTGATGAAAGTATTTAGAAAATTGAGCAGACTAGATGGGCCGAATGGTTCTTATCTGCCATCACATTCTATGTTTCTATGTAAGTCCAAGCAAAAACGATGCACTCCTGGGGTAATTTCCTTCAGTAATATGAAAATTGTATTCATAACAAAAGAAATGTTTCGGTCCCACCTTGAAGACCTTTATTAAGCACATGACTCAGAAAAATAGAACCAATTTACAGCAAACAAACATCGCTTGCCAACATGCACAATTACATAACAATACACGTTGAAAAAAGAAGACTCAAAACCATTAAGTTTAGCCTTTCAAACATCTCTGTTATTGTAGTTGAAATAATAAATACTGAAAGGACAAAAAAACAACTTTGCTACAAAATGGGAAAGCAATTCCACTAGACTCCAAAATGAGCTCCTTAAATTCACAATTTGTAACACCACTTTTTAACATTTAGGACCTTAATATAATATAATATAATATTTATATATATATATATATATATATATATATATAATATATATATATTTTTTTAATTATTATTATTTTATTTTTTAAATAACCCATCCAGACATTTTAAGATCTGTACTTAAACTTACTAAAAAAAAAACTATCTAAGCCGAGGGTTTCACATATTTATTGTTCTGACTGCCACAGGAGAAATATCCTTTCTTCCAAAGTAGAAATCTCACCAAAGACAGGTTTTCAAGTAAATCATTTGATCTTTTTTTTATATTCTCAGTTTACACATTGGATATCTATTTTATGAAGCTTATAATGTTCTAATAATTCTGTAGTTTGCGCTATTTTGCCTAGCTTGCTCTACTGGACAAAAGCTGCCAGTCTACCACATTAATGATCCTATTTGGTAGACCTATCTGCAATAATCTTACGTGAGCATTATAATTATTTTTGTAATCTAGTCCTATGTCACAAGGTTTCTTTTAAAAAGAGACAATCCCTTGCGTGTAAGTGTATTAGAATCTATGAATGTTACATATTAACATTTTGTCATTAGTTTATTTGATTGAAGCACTGATAGTAGCTTTGAGAATTCAACAATCAAAATATTCTCACAATACAATAAATATGCAAATTATTATTTGTGAGTAAATGGAAAAATAAATAAGTATTGTAACACCTCCGAGAATTGCTGACCAATCCGTCTATTTCTACATGCTTCTATATTTGTAATAACATCATTCAACTATTTCCTTTTTGTTGACCTACAAACAATCATCTTACAATAAGGAAAGCTGACAGCCGGAAATAACCTAAATTTGGAGAAAAAAAAAATTTGATGTAGCACCATTGTATGTATTGGACATCAACATTTTATATAGCGTATATGAATATCAAACAAACTGGCAGAGAAAACAAAACAATAATAATGATAAAATTAATTTTGGCATGCAAGGATTTCCCCTAGATATGAAATAAATTACCTCTGTATTTTTCCAGGAACCCATCATCTGTTGTATTTTAAATGACAAGTAAACTTATCACAGATGACATTATTTCAAAAACATAAATATTATAGATAATATGAACAATCTAATATGCTGCATTAAATTCAAACCACAAGTAACCACTGAGACTAACAGAAACCTTCCTTCCGAAATGAATATTTGAGGGTTGAATTAAAGAACTAAATCCCATTCCAACGGTTTGATTTGTCTTAGTGGAATAAAATGTTTACATTGTAATGTTAGTGCTTTAGTGAATGGCTGAAAATGTTAACTGATAGATCCTTATGCACAAAATAATAAGACTCTAGCAGAAAAAAAACACGTGTTATTATAACTTTTAACATTAAAAACAGATTAGCTTCTAACAAAAACATTAATCAGAAAATCTTAATTGGAGATTGGTGTGTAATTAATATAGAGAAAATATAGTGTGTGTGTGTGTGTGTGTGTGTGTGTGTGTGTGTGTGTGTGTGTGTGTGTGTGTGTGTGTGTGTGTGTGTGTGTGTGTGTGTGTGTGTGTGTGTGTGTGTGTGTGCCAAAAAGGTTATGGTGGGAAAAAATTGTGATTGAAAACCCCTTTCATTTGAAGTCTGTGGATAGTTAATACAATGTTAAACCAAAATCTGCACACCAGTCAAGCCATAAGACTTGCGTTTCCCACATAAATCACAAATCTGCAGTGATGTTACTATCGCAAAGGATTCTGGGTGGGCATATGCAAATTAGTTTGCATACAGCAAACATAGACTTAAAGAAATCCATGTTTAAAATGGAATGAGGCAAAAATGTGATTCTTTGTTAAACTAATTTGCATATGCCTACCCAGAATCTTTTGCGGTAGTAACACCACTGCAGATTTGTGATTTCTGAAAGTCCTATGATGGACTGAAACGTCGATTTGCTGTAACCCGTGTGTTAATTAAGATTAATAATTTTCTTCAAGAAGCCCAGCATGTGCCTTTCTTCGTAGAGTTTTTTTTGTTTATCACAAAACTATCAAGGTACATAACAACAAGCAGGGATGTGTTATGGTCTATTTTATAATACTTTAGATGAGACATCATGTGCAAATGAGTAAATAAATTATTTAATAGGAGTTTGACATTTAGGCCAAAATAACTAAGATTAATCAATTCTCAATTTCTGTCATCCTGCTAATATATTTTGGTCTAACATTTGCAATTCAATGACAATCCGCTTTTAAAAGACTACTTTAAAGCGGTACTGTCACACCGAATTTACCTTTTCGCAGAATCCTCTTCTCTTCCTATCTCAGAATCTGCTCTTCTTTTCTTTCTTTCTGATCTGGTTCTCTTGAAAACATAAGACAAAGTAGGGACTATTTTGTCTTATGTATTTTTCCTATGCTTGACTTTCGTTGACACAAGTTTTCCCATAATACTAATGTGTAACTAGAAACCACCGGTGTAAAAATTGCCCTGGGCCTCCCCCATACATCTACTCCCCATCCCATACAGCGCTACCACCCCCCTCTCCCCCCACACATGCAGACAAACAGATACACATGTAGACACACACAGACAAGGGAGGGAAGGATCAGCTCTTTGAATATCTAAAAAAACTATATCTAAGAAAACTGTCAGCTAACCCCAAAAGTAGGTATCCCTCTTGTCCTACTAATGGAAGTAAAATCCCCTTTTCTGTATTTTATTACACACACAGACACACATACATGTAGACACACACATACAGACACACATAGATACACACACACACAGATACATACACACAGACATGTAGGCACACACACACACATACATACATACATACAGACACACACAAACACACACAGACACATGAATACAAACACAGATACACACACAGACATGTAGATACACACACACACACATACAGACAGACACACATACATACAGACACACACATACATACAAATACACACACATACACACAGAGACCCATACATACTGTAATGTCCAAGAGTCCTTGGGTAGTTAGTAGGGGGGTGATGTTGCCACA